CCACCCGCTCCCCAACTCGCGTGTTGTGGGGGGGGTGTAGGTGTGTAAAGCTTGTCTCCCTAAAAATTTAGGGGGGGTAAGTTTGGACAACACTGCTTTAATGAAATGGGTGGCTAGGGATGAAATGCAACCCAACCATTCAAATACTAATTAAAAAATAAAATATCTACATAACAGATATTACCTGTCTTTTGCAAGAATTCTTATTTGATTATCTATTTCCATCTCTTCAACATTTTCATTAACAGATTTTATTACACCATTTTCTTTATTTTCTTCATTTAGCAGTTCATACTGCCCATTTTCTAAGGCTGCTCTCCAACTGTATCTGTCCGTTACCTGTAAGTACACTACATTTACTCAAATACAGGAAAATCGAAAGAGAATTTTAAATTGCATTTGCATTTTCAAGCAAATGAAAGTATTACTTTGAAAGAGTTCAGCAATTTCATAGATACCATTCTCCATAAAAACTAAGGAGTCAAATACCTTAATGGAACCCAATGTTCCTTGGAAAATTCTATCTTCAATGTCTAAGAGAAAGTCTCTAAGCCTTAATTCAAGCTGCTTTTCTGCAGATTTTTGGACTATATCACAAGCATTCTGTATTTTTCCACGTCCAAAATGTGGCTTGGCTTCATTCTGTGTTTTTTCTGTAACATTTAAGAGATTATACAAAATGTCTTCATACTTATTAACATTTTTAACCAAGGCAAAAAAAACATGAACATTGCTTATGAATACTGACATGCAATACTGTAGTCTGTCAATTTGTAATCTGTCATGGGTATCATAGAGTATAATAAAGGCATACTTAACATGAAATAAAAGTAGCAGTTATTAGGACTCTCAAGCTTTTATTTAGTATTATTGTGAAAATTTTCATTTAATATATTTTGTATTAATAATATTGTACTAATATTTTGCAATAACAAAGCTGCTCTGTCCCAGTGGAATACACTGTTCCCTGAAATATATACAGCGCCCACACTTTCTGCACAGCACCAAAGAACTGGCTCTTTAAAAGAGCACTTGAAAATTAAGAGTCACAGTTCAATTGTTTTTGGTATTTCTTGTTTTTATATTATTACCATTATATTTCTATTCAGATGATTATTTTACGAGGTTTTATTTGGATGTTAGAAATCCAGAGTTTCTGGGCCTGAGTGAAATATAAACAAAATCTAATAAGTAGCAAAATCTTTGCAAAGTAGGGAATGTTTTATACAGTGCTGGCAAGATATATTTTTTTTATATTTGGTTAAAGAAGAGACTGCAAAATTCATGGAATATACTGACAGTGTAAACAAACTATGATTCATTGAAAGTCAAATTATTTCAACTGTTAGGGTAAGAACAAATTCTACAGGAAATAAACTAAATAATCATAAAGACCTCAACCATAAAATAAACATCTAGGATGTTTACCTGAAATATGGAATTTTTCAATAGGAAAACTACTAAGTTGTTCACATATTCTGGATTTTTCCTGTAAAAGAACTTCCTTCAAGGCACTTTCCCTGTATCCTCGGGAATTGAGAGCTGCTAGGAGTTGGTCAAGCTGTTCCTGAGAACTATAAAAGCACCATCTGTTTGGCTTTTGTATTGGTTGTGATACATTTACAATAGCGCTAGTTTCCAAATCTTGGTGAATATTGGAGGTAGATTCTGCCGTCAAAAGCTCTCCAGTTTTAATGGCTATCTGAGATTTTTCTGAAATATGACCCTGTACATTTTTTTGAAATGAAGATGGCTGAGGCAACAGCATGTCTTCTGTAAGACCAGAATAGTCTTCTTCCACAAATAGTCCTGGAACAGATGAAAAAAACCAGTAGCGTCGATACAAGCGGTCACGGCCCAAAGGAGAAATATTGGTACAGGCTGTAGCTTTCTGAATCTTTTCTATGAGTTCCTTTTCTTTATTTTGTTGCTCCTGTTTTAAAACTGCCTCTTCTTCTGCAGTGAGCAGTTCACACTTATCATCAGTAGTCTCCCCTTGTCTTGTAAAATCTTTAAAGCCATTCTGTCCTCTTCGCCCTAGAAGCAGTTGGCAAGAAAAATTACAGATCTGTGCCCAGGACAAGCAGCTTAATTAGAAATCATTTGTAATTTTTTTTACAAATTGCAAAAAAATCAAACATTTCCTTTTTCTATTTCTCTGCAGTTCTTGGATGGATCCAGACCATTTTCAAACTGGGCATTTTTTTGCCAGCTCCTCCCACCACATCACATTTTGTCCCATTCTGTTTGTTTTCAGAGACTTATTCTGTTGATGGACAGACAGACAAATGAACGTCAGAGTCCTGAGCATCTTTACATAATTTATGTCCAATATTCTGCTCAGAAGAACAAAAATTAATTTTGGAGGCAGCTAATGAAGGTATTTTATATAAAGTTTTTTCGCAATGTGGCTTTGAAGTAGGACTGATTTACAACTGTTTTTAGTTGTATTTTATCTTGCCTTCCATGCTACAACATAAAATTTCTTCCCACCTTTCTTTCCTTAGAACACCGACTGACAGGGGCTGCGGAAGGGGCTGAAGGGGCTGCTATATACTAACACAAGCAGAATAATACCTTTTCTTTTTAATGGAATTATTAGTTGTGAAGATATATTTAACATTTTTTAAAATACAACTTTACTTTTTTTCTAATGTGAATATTGTATTTCTGTCTTGCCTTAGAAATCAATGCAATTATATGAGTCATACAATTTCAGAGAATGAAATAAACTAGATGATAATCAGAGGAAAGAAAAGTGACGATATAGTAGAGAAATAAAAACAAGAATATAGTCCATTACACAAAATTATTCAAAAGAATATGCATATTTCACATATGAAGAAATGTTTTTTAGCCTTAGACAGAAGCATTACAAAGCCAAAAAATAACTTTTATAATGAAATAAAATGGTGAGTAGCATTAAATATCAAACTTGATCAACAGAATGACTGATTCATATATGTAATCCAAGCTGTCTTTAACTCAATGCAAAAGGAAGCAGTGCTGAAGTTTCAATTGTACAGTACTCTTGCATTCCATTGACAACCTTAGAAACTTGAATTTGAGTCAATAAATAACTCAAATGTCAAAAAAATAAATGTTTAACAATTAAATACAGTATATTAAATTTACCTCCTTTCTTTTTATTTGGCATTGAGTTATCTTCTTCATCTGTCATGGCATCTATTTCTTGCTCCTTTGTTTCAACCTCTTTGCTGTCTGTACTTGTATCAAGCTCTTCTCGATCTTCGTCACTGATACTGTAGGCATAAAAATGGAGAAAAAATAACCTCCAAGTTCAAAGAAAGATAGATGTTATAAAATAACATTTTATTGTGTCATCTGTGTTCATATCAAAAACGGGACAAAGGTACTGCTATCCCATAGGAATAGATTGCCAAGGGAAGGAAGTTTTGCAATGACTAAAGAATGTTCCACCAATACTGTACTATGAAAACATACTAAAATAATTGTTTTGCTGTATCTTCCTTTGCCCCTTCATGGATCACTGCCTTGTCGTGGCGAAGGGGCTTGCG